CATAAGTCCTCGAACCCATACAGGCCGAGGATTCTCTTCCCAGTCCGACTTTTGGAAGAGAAGGACCATCAGATGATGCGAGACCTTTACGTGATGTTGAAGAAAGTAAATGACGATCTACCACCTCCAAGATGTTCTCAAGATGATATCGACTTATGCGAGACTTTTCAAAGGATTAGCAATGAGTAAGAAGCGGTTCGATAGTGGCAATGAGGTGGTCACATGCGAGGCGGCGAATGTCTTTCAATGCGACTTTCCAAAGAAAGAAAGAGATCTCAGGGGCTTCGCAATCAATATAGCCTTCGGGAATGAGAAAGAGACCTCGAGGATGCTCGATCTTGGAGAAGGAATAAACCTCATGACACTTGCAGTTTATCGGCAGCTTGAGCTTGGTGACTTGAAGCCTACTCGGATGCTCCTACAACTAGTCAACCGCTCAGTCCGTCAACTCGATGGAGTTGTGAAGATGTGTTGGTTCGAGTGGGAAAGTTGACAATCCCAGTGGACTTTGTTGTGCTACATATTAGGAATGTGCAAGAAAATTAAAACAGCACGCCATCCTTCTCGGACGACCACCAGCACGGTTATTGATGTGAAGAATGGAACCACGAGCATGACCGTGTTGGGAGAGTCCATCTCTATTTCCGTCCGAGAGACTCGGCCTGAGCCGCAGGTGAATTCAGTGGAGGAATATGTGTCCCTTACGACAATGGAGCGGATTATTGAGGAAATGTGTATGCGAATATACACGAAGAGGTCATTGCAGGACCATGTCAAGAAGGAAGGGGATACCAACCACCGCACAATTCCCCCTCAGCTAAACTCCATGGAGCCACTTCGGTCCCAATGGGACGAGAGATATGATTGGTCAGACGCCTGCTGATGCTCGGGGCCTCACTACCTCCACCCTCCACCAGCACCACTGGATTCATTGTGACTCGTCTAGTCACTGTGCCCTGTACGTTTGTACTTTTCTCTTCTCTTTATTTTTGTGTTTTGGTTTTGTTTATCTGTTTTTGTGTTGGTTGATTATGTGGGTAAACTGCCCTAATACTGATGTGGGTATCCTATATCAAGTGTGGTGGAGTTTTTGCATGCTTATGTGTCTGCATGGTTGACCAGGTCTAGTTTTTTTTAGGTGATTTATCTTATATTTTTGTCTTGTGTCAGTTTGTGTGTTTTGTGAGTATGGACTTTGAAAATTTTTCAATATTAATTAAGACTTGTTTGATGAGTTCGATGAGCTGTGATGTTGGTTATATGCGGCATAACGTGATGAAATGCTTGGTCGATTGCTTTGATTGGCATTCATATATCTACCTAGTGAGATTTGAGCCTTATTGGCGCTTTGTACGGTTCCATATCATGGAGAGCTGAAAGGATCTCTTCATCCGTAATATCATTCTCCATGGAATGCATGAGGTTGAAATCACAGGTTGGGAAAAGGTTAATTGAGTCGTCGGGTATCACTGGGGCTGGCCTTTATAGATGCTATTAAAGAACTCTGCTGCTAAGAGATATAGGGATGTCTGATCCGTTACCTGGTTACCCTCGTCATCTGTTAACTTAGTTATTTTTCCATGTCTTCTCTGATACTTAATTTTCCTGTGGTAGTAATACGTATTCCTGTCACCGAGATAGGACCAGTCCCTCGTAGCCTTCTGTATCAACAATTATTCTTCTTATCTGATGACGTCTTCAAGCTCAGTACAAAGTTGTTTTTCTATGCTAACTAACCGGTCCTGGACATAGAATTGTCTACTCATCTGGATTCCTCCTATGCGGGCCAGTAAATATTGTTTTTTTCGTCAAAAATATTCCCGTATACTTTAAAATTCCACTCCTTTTCTCCCAAAGCAAACTTATCTGTCGCCTCCTCATAGAAATAGGAGGGCTGTCACGCATCTTGTAGCATATCTGCAAAGTCTGGATAGAGTAACCATGCGGCCAAAAATAGAAAAGGTTTCTCCATTAATGTAACGACTAGTCCGACCGAAACCCAACAAAAGAGGTGAGTGGTCTGATTGAACCCTCAGAAGAAGGCGAGTCCTGCCCATATCGAACGTCTCTAGCTAGGGTAAATTTGCTATAAAGCGATCAAGTTTCTCGACCATCCTCCCATTCCACGTGTCTCGAATCCACGTGAAGAGATGTCCATTCGTGGCCACCTCTTGAAGGCTATTATTGAAGAGCCAGTCCGCAAACTCCTGGCTTATGTTACAGTAGCTAGATGAGCCCCCTATTTTCTCAGAACGACGAAGAAGACAGTTCAAGTCACCTCCAATAATCCATGGTTCAGAGATTCTAGACGACAGTCTCTCCAAATTTATCCACAATGTCTTGCGAGTCGTTACAATGGGGCTGGCGTATACAAACGACACCATGCTGCTTACACCATTTTTGGTTATCCGGGCATGAACTAATTGGCAGGAGTAATTCAATACTTCAACCGTCACCACGTCATTCCACAGTAGTCAAATAACCTTCGAAAACCCCGAGATTCAATGCGAAACGAGTTCTCAAATTTGCTGTATCGTATAAAGTAGTTTACGTTCCTTACACTAATACGAGATTCAAATAGGGCCACAACATCAGGTGTGTATTGCTGGATTAGGGTAGAGAAAGCTCCCCGAAGTTCAGGCGAGCCTGCACCCTGTACATTTTTAGTGATTGGATTCAACACGAAACCATTGAGTAGAGGTTGGTCAAGCGCCATTAATCAAGATCATGGACCTGCATGTCCGATCACTCTTCTATGCACTTACGTTCTCCTAGGTTTTCCTTCAGGTCCCCCTGGCGGTTCGGATCCTCCAGCCATGGTTCCTGAACCCTCTAACATTATTGCATTGCCGATGGAGTCCACAATTTTCATAGCCTGAGAGTTAGGAAGCGATTGTACTTGTTCTTCTACCACAACGATTTTTCTGTGTTTGATCAGGTTTAGCCCAGCGCCCACGTTGATAAGCCGTGTTTGATTCTGAGGTTGGATATGGGCTGGATTGCCTGTTAGTTATAACCAGCCCACCACTCTTTCTATGGGCCTTATTCAAGTTGATATTCGAGTTTCCCTCCTTCACTGGCCCATTTTAATCTCGCAGTTTTAGGTTTCCCACGTTGGCCTTAGTTGGGGTTTTTTCTCTACTCGTAACCAAGCGCCACTCGGAATCTTCAGTTATCCTTTTTGATAGTCCAAAATCTAGCTCATTATTGTCTACTGATGAAGACCCAAATTCAAAAACATGATTTGATTCCAAAATATCGAATCGAGATCCACGATCGGTTGCGGATTTTTTTGCAACTCGGGTATGTCTGCCGTGTTCGCTGGATTCATGGTCCATACAGCGGCTCCTCGCTGCCACACTCCATCGTTGTTTTATCGTCCGTACCGTCGACACCTCTTTTAGTGTTCCTAGCATTCCCGTCGACATGGGCCCCCTCACGCCTTTCCTTCTCTTGGGTATGCGGGTGGTGAGGACAAGTGTTACCCGTGTGACTATTCTCCCGTAGACCACACACTGACTTCTCCCGTTAATGGTGAAGCTCACACAGAGCGGCTTAGTTAAGTCAACAGTTACAACAAGCCGAGCGTATTTGCCTCGGGTTAGGGCTGCTGTGATGTAGGGAAAGCGTACGAATGGGAAGGATAAAATGAGATACTCTCTCGAACTTGGGATACTCTCCCAAAAAAACACGAACAATTTTAATTCATTCTCAAATTCAACTCCATAAAACAATAGATGGGGGAGCCCTTTAAATAAGACTCCTAAACATTATTCCTAACTTGTCCAACAAGACAAGATCTCTAATATTTAATTCCTAACTTATTCTCCAAGATAATAATAATAATAATAATAATAATAATAATAATAATAATAATAATAATAATAATAATAATAATAATAATAATAATTAAAGATTCTAAACATCCTTATCTCCATCATGCTGTTTGTTGATTATCTTGACCACTTTTCCGACAAGCCAGCCGATTGTACGAAATATCTTTATATGGTACAAATGGGCCGGCATTCCAGTGAATCCACGCAACCGTGCTTGTTAACTCACTCCTCTTTCGTCGCATCAAAGTCTAGGGTCCAAGACTGCACGTGCATATAGCTACTTGGCCCTCAAGTGAGAATCCTAACCGTATCATCGTGGTTCCGAAAGTGGATCAGATAAAATCTGTTTTCGAGATCCATCATATTGCATCCCACCATAAAAGGCCATATCTTAGTAAGTCGATTGTATATGGAGGCCATGGTGAGTGACTCGTCAAAAGGTTTTAATACTACTACGTGTTGCTAGTCCTTGTTAATTTGTTCAAATAATCGCTGCGCAATTCTTATCTACGGCATGGGACGAGTGAGGTGTACAAACACATCCTATTCTTCTTCGTTCTCAATTAATCCATCATCCGAGTTCAGATCCACATGATTTTTGTGTTTGTTAACCATATCGCTAAATGACCATTTCTGTGGTTTCAGATCCTCATCTGCAGCCGGTGGTGCCTTTAGGTTCGACGAGGTCTGATGTTCCAGTTAGTTGCCGGCAGCACGTTCCAATCCAGAGTCGGAAATTCTGAATCTTGTGTAGAGGACTGAGAATTAACTCCTGAGTCAAAGGTCGCCGTACCGTCGGTGTGCGTGTTGAGAACATTGAGAGCGTTATCGGCCATTTTTCAAATTCAACTATTAGCTTAGCTCAACTAATTTCAATGTAAAGATTTTTGGATTGGATAAAATTCAATATTCTTGTATGTTACAGTATGATACAAATATTTCATTGACATTTTCAATTTTTGCATTCAAATGCGGTTGGTTCCGTCAAGCTTTTGTCGGCAAAGTCAACGAAATGACTCATTCAATGGGAGGCCGAGGCACTATAGAGTGGTCCCCCTCCTCAAGTCAAATATGTTTTATGTCTATAAATCTTGGGCATTTGCTCTTCATCATTAATTTCCCACACAACATAACACTAAGTAACACAAGTTGAAAAGTTAAACAATGGCGGCCACCATTGACGCGCTAATTTGCACGACAGCATTTCTCTTGTTAACCCTCACGGCCCCGTCTCCTTCCCACGCCACCCGCCACCGATCTCCTCCGATCAAAGGCATCTACTACCCGTCGTGGGCCCGCTGGACTCTCCCTCCTTCCTCCATCGACACGACCCTCTTCACGCACGTCTTCTATGCATTCCTCACCCCCAACCCCCTCACCTTCGAGTTCGACAACATCCCTCCATCCGACGCCCTCTTCATCACCAACTTCACCTCCGAACTCCGCCCGCATGTCCAGACCTTATTCTCCGTGGGCGGCGCATCCGAGGGCCCCTCCCTCTTCTCCCGGATGGCCTCGGCGCCCTCCTCCCGCGCCGCCTTCATCCGCTCCAGCATACGAACCGCACGAGAGCTTGGCTTCCATGGGATCGATCTCGACTGGGAGTTCCCTCAGAACGCAGCCGACATGGACAACTTGTCGGCCCTGCTCGACGAGTGGCGCGCGGCCGTCCGTGCCGAAGCTGGGCCGGGCCGGGCCCCGCTCCTCCTGACGGCGGCCGTGTACTACGCGGCGGACGGGTTTTTGTCCGGGGCGCCCCGCGTGTACCCGGCGAGGTCGGTGGCTCGGAATCTGGACTTTGTGAACGTGATGAATTACGACTACAGGGGCGGGTGGGACACGAGTGCCACGGGGGCTCACGCCGCGCTGTTCGATCCGCGGAGCAACGTGAGCACGAGCCGAGGGCTGGGGTCGTGGGTGAGGGCGGGTGTGCCCAGGGGGAAGGTGGTGATGGGGATGCCGTTGTATGGGAGGACGTGGCGGCTGAGGGACCCGGCAGTGGCTAGTGGGATAGGGGCGCCAGCAGTGGGGGTGGGGCCAGGAGAAGGAGTTCTGAGGTATGCAGAGGTGGTGGAGTTCAACAGGGAGCGCCGGGCGCGGGTTGTGTACGACCGGGAGACAGTGTCGGTTTACTCGGTGGCGGGGAGCGATTGGGTCGGGTACGATGATGTCAGGTCCGTGCGTGTGAAAGTTGGCTACGCCCGGGGGATGGGGCTGGGCGGCTACTTCTTTTGGGCGGCCAACGGTGATTACCAGTGGACAATTTCACGGGCAGGTATATATATCAGTGGCCGGTGTACTAAATTTTTAAATAATATATATAACAGACTTTTAATTATAAATAACATGCATATATAATAGTTATTTTTGCAAGATAATGGGATATTTATTATTGTTACAGTCCCGTTACGGAACCATTCTATCGGGGTTTGTAACCGTTATATCATCATGTAATTGTTGGGATAGTTGATCTAACGATTACAAACCCGGACGAAATTATTACGTAACGAGACCGTAGGATCTGCGATAATTAAGTACTCAGGTTCACTTGTAGACTTTCAGCATTTGTGATATTATATATACTGCGAGCGCGAGCTACTCCCCTTTATTCTGATTCTTACGTTTATTTATTGTCCTTTCTCTTCAGCTTCGCAACTATGGTCTTCCTAAGAGCAACAACTATGACGACTCGCTTGAAGAATGATGTGGTTTTCGGATCAAACTCCACCTGAGATTGAATCGAGAATAGATAATATTATTGTTCGCCCAATCGTGTACTTCCAATTATTTTCTTCCCATTTTCGTATGTAAGCATCACTTTTATTTTGATACATATCATTTCATAGTTACTAGAAACTTATTCGGGGACCATTTGAAACAATTCGAGGCTGATATGTTGACATATGTGAATTATTGAATTGTCCTATTAAATTTTTATTATTATTATTATTTTTTTTTTGTTTCTCGGTTATTTTTTTGTGTAATAGTAATACCACAATCTAGCCACTTATAAAAANNNNAAAAAAAAAAAAAAAAAAAAAGATTGGCCACTTTATACCAAAGAATGAAATCAAGCTACTTTGGTTCACATGACGATGCACGTGGTGACTGATTTTTTTGCTGATTTAATTATTATGTAATAAAGAATGTTAATTAATATATTAATTATGTCAATGACAGAATAAAAAAATAAAAATAAAATGAGTTCTTTTTGAAAATTTAAATATATAAGAACATAATGAGTTGGTAAGATAACACATTAGGATATCAATGTAAAATTGATGGAAAACAATGACTTTATGATGAAAGGAGATAAAATAGCTAAATAAAAAATTTAATTACACTATATGCTACAATTCTCTCCTTATGTTGGTGACTGGATGATAGAATTTCTTCTTCTGCTTTAGGAGGTTTTTTTTTCTTTTCTTTTTTTCACCGCACGACGACCATCATCAGGCTCCCAATTGGGAGCGTGGGTCATACAGCCAGTACATGCGTTGGGTAGGTGACCTCGGCCGCTTGTAGAGTCACGAAGACAACCAGGCAATTCTGATTATAGCCGTAGTGGCATCACATTATCCCACCGGGCCGCAAGCGACCCGACAGTTCCGATTATAGCCACTACGGCATCACATTATCTCGCCCAATCACCTTCGATAACCCACAATTGGATGGTACCAACACGCATCTTTGTCGGGAGCAGGCGACAACCGGACAATTCCGATTATAGCCGTAGTAGCATCACATTATCCCACCGGACAAGGGTCTACACCTAGCCGCAGCTTGCGGCATATCCCATCACCCGACAGTTCCGATTATAGCCACTACGACATCACATTATCTCGCCATACACAATCGTCGCCTATTCCAGACAAATATACGTGTTGCAAGAACGCGTTATTTTATGGGGCCTAGAAACGACCAGACAATTCCGATTATAGTCGTAGTGGCATTACATTATCCCACCGGACAAGGGTCTACACCTAGCCGCAGCTTGCGGCATATCCCCTCGCCCGACAGTTTTGATTATAGCCATTACGCCATCACATTATCTCGCCACACACAATCGCCCCAGAAACCACAAATAACGCATCCTATGAAGTGCAACGGGGGTCGTAGGCCACCTGCGGAGCAAGCAGCCTTTGCACCATTGTACCCTCAGAGACCACCTTACCCCATTTCTGCTTTAGGAGTTTTCTGCACACATTTTTAAAGGTTGCTGATTATATCAAGATTTTCGATTTCAATCATACAAAATATATTATTTATATAAAATAATATTTCATATATATATATATATATATATATATATATTATTTTCTATGTGCCACATATGTTTTGACCAATTGTATTAGTTCCCTTTGTTCAACTTAAAAACATAAGTTTGCAATGAATAATATAAATATAGATAATTTCTATATATATTAATCATTAGTTAGATAGTTGTTGTTGATTAAGTATAAAGAGTAATATGATTTTTCTGATATAATTTAGTTTTTATTTTGGCACTCATCATTAAAATTTTAGATCACTTCTTGAACTCATATCTATGGACTGTTGATAAACGGATTTGATCAACTTTAGAAATGAAAATATCGGGGATAAGTACGAAATTAAAGTGATTTTATTCGTTTAATGGGATATTATTGAGAACAGTCACAAGTCGGTATTTCGGACTTGAGGTCGGGTTTTGTTCATACAATGAGTCGGTTGTGAGTGCAAACCGAGGTGTTTAATGCAGAATTTAATGTGTCAGAAAAAGATCCTCGTATCGTGTTTAATGTCGCTATTTATAGTAACTGTGGGCTCGTCTTTTCATGAGATACGGCGGCATTTAATTCGATGTGACAGAATAGGCCTGGCTCTCCCACGTGGGTCCCATAGCAATGAGTTCTCACGTGGTCCGAGACATTTGATAGACAGGCATTAAATTCTGCTTGTCGGTACCAACGTCAGCTATTATTTAAATCACCTTTATTGAGGAGGTTAGCGTCTGAAGAGGTCAGTTTCTCAGCTCGGGGAACTTTCACTTTTCTCTTTTCGGCGCGACTCCTGACTTCCTCCATGATTCACGTGTCGTTCATCCGACGTGCGAGAAGATTTCTATGTCAACATTAAGGCCCCTGACATTGAGGGGGACATGTGCTATGGTCCGCCTTAATGTCACTTTTTACCCCTTATCGATATCTCCTGCTATGGGGCTCTAGCCGCCTTCCCGCCCTTAGTCGAAAATCCTTCAATCTTTTGTGTGAAGCTCATAGTTCTCTTGATACGGCGTGTGGTATCACGGAACGACGTGCCCGTCTCCTTCAGTTCCAGGCGGTTACGTCTCTCCACTACACGTTCCCACGATCTCTGACGATATTCCTACGTGGCAAACCCCTATTCCTCCGCGTGTAATTGCGGGAGCAACGCGAAACGTCCTTATCTTAAATTGTGACGGTTCACGGGCGTCAGTTTCTGCGTAACGGTCATATTGTTCTCATATAAATACTCCATCTTCTTCTACCCTCAGAATTACGCATCTTCTTCATTCTGCCCTCCACTTTATTTCCTATACTTCTTTCGCCCTTTGCTTTTCCGATTTTCAACTCCCGACATCTTAGGCTCAGTTGTTCTTTCGTGGTGAGTTCTTTCGTCTATCTCTATTTTTCGTTTCTCTCATTTTTCTTTTATTTTTTTGAAATTCCGTCCATCGCCCAAACAATGGCGGAACGAGCGGCGGAGAGTAGTAGCAAAACAATTTTCGACGAGGTGGTTCACGAGTCTGCCTCAGACGAAGAGGTGGACGTGGTGTTAGCGTTAGGGTACTACCGCTGGGACCCACTATTGGCCGAGCGTTTAGTCTTATGGAGGAATAACCATGAAGGCGACGCCGAGGTTAAAAAGGACCTCCCCAATCGTAAGGGTTACTGGAATCGCCCTCCCCGTTGTTGGGCTGATGCCGATGCGACATTTCCCGGTGAGCCTAGCATGATGACTGATGCCGACGTGGTGTTGTTGAGGAAGTCGGCTCGGATTCCGCCTACGGTGAAGATGTTTGCCCCATACCCTGGCGAGAGGATTCATTCTTCTCCTCCCGGTTGTGTAGGGGTGTTCGCCGAAAGCATTAGGTCGGGATTGAGGTTTACCCTTCCCAACATGATTACCGACTACCTTCGGGATTGGGAAATTGGTATAAGCCAGATTATGCCGAACAGTTGGAAGAAAATCTTTGGCCTTTTGGTTCTCAGTGTACAGAATGGGTTGTCGTTCCCTTCTATAGATGAGTTCCAAAGTATCTTCTTTTTTAAGCGGAGCCAAGAACGGGACAGTGTCCCACCCACCGGTTGTTTCTTCTACTCCGCCAAAGCACAAGGCGAACTGAAGGTCGGTCAGTTGAGCACCAAAATCCCTCATACTTTACATGGCTTCCAGGAGGAGTGGTTCTGGGTCGGTGGTGATTGGGAGTCAGCCGACTTCCTTTTGGAGTCGAACATTGACGGGATGATCGTCCCAAACCGAGTTGTTTCTGCTTATGGTAAGTTTTCCATTTGTAACCCACTTCACCATCTCCTGACTGTTGGTCTTTTCTTTCGCTAACAGGTCAGAACTTTTGGTCTTTATAGTCCGAAGGAAGAAAGAACCCAAACTCACCGCCGAATTCGATGAAAGGCTCAAGGATCTTGCGAAGGTCGACCCTTCCAATCGTAATTGGCAGAAACTGTTGAAAGAGACGGAATTGGCTAAGGCGGAACTCACGGTGCTTCGCCCGTTCAAAACAATCTCTCCTGGTAAAATGGACTTTATTGCTAGTTTTGATGTTCATTTTTTACGTGACTTCCCCTGTGTGTTTTTTATGATTTTCCTTGGTGTGAATTTTCAGTTTACTATCCTATCCTCGATTTCTTCGGTTTCAAATCAATCAAGGACGACCAACTCTTCCGGCGCAAAGTTCCCAATACCGACGTTCAACTCAAGTTCGCAAGAGAGATTGAGATGGGTCGCTTGAAGTTCTTGCAAAATGTAAAGAGCGCCGCCACTAGCCGAGGTGTGGCGCCTGCGGGTTCCGACGCCAAGCCAGTGCCCTCGGCAGAGGAGCCGAAGCGGGTCCAAACCTCGGGGTCCGGCCCGACTGCCGACCAGGTTCAAGGAACCGAGATGGTCGTGAAGTCTCCTGTCCACACTGGTCCCGAGGAGAAGAAGACGACCGAGGCCCCTCAAGATGTTCATATCCTCGTGTCTAGTGTCGATGAGAACGAGGAGGAGAAGAAGGCTGCCGTGGAGGCCTCTGCCCGTAAGAAGCGCAAGTATAAGAAAAAAACCTGAAGGTGAGTCGCACGTTGTCGGGGAACGTCGATCCAAGATGAGGCATGATGTCGTTCTGACTCTGGGAGAGAGAAACGCCCCGGTGCACCAGGACAAGAGCTCCACGTACTTGCCCATTTACGAGGAGAGGGTTCTCAACCTCAACCTGCCCTTTGGGGTTTCTGAGTTGTAACGCCCAGATTTTTATTTACTATTTATGGAGCTCGACTATATTTCTATAACTATTAAGTTTCTAAATTTGATGCATTTATTATATTTATTTGCATTAAATTAAATAATTAGTATTAAAGTCTAAGCCATGGAAAATTCATTCGATTTTAATTATTAAAGTTGGATTTATCTAGCCCAAGTCGGATAATTTG